TATAAGGACTAGGATGCACATATTGAACTGCTATGACCATCTTTCATTTTGTTTGTAGATTTTGATGAGCGAATGTTGAAACAGCAGCAGGAAGAGGAAGAAAGGAAACGTTTACGTCGAGAAAAGAAGAAAGAGAAGAAGGTTTGTAGTTCTGTGAAGCTTACTTTTGGATATTAGACTTAGAGATTATGGTACTGATATCATGAGTCAGATTTTGGTCATATACTTATTTCTTTATCACTTCCCCACTCTCCCTTTCTATGGCAGTGCTTTCTCTAACAAAGTTTTGTTGATGGTTACTTTGATGATCTGTATTGATATCCAGAAAGAGAAGGTCTCAGAAGAGGAACCTGAAATAGACCCTGATGTTGCAGCTATGATGGGATTTGGAGGTTTCAAAACTTCAAAAAAATGATCGCCTTTGGCCATGAATCTATTGGGAAGATGGTTTAGTCTGGAGTAATCTGCCAGAGGCTGGTAGTTTACTTTGAAAAGGTCTAAAATATGAGATAGATATTCCATTTCGGTACCATAGTAGCCAGGCAGTTGAGTTTCGTCAATCTCATGTTTGATAAGCTAGTCTCCAGAATTTTCTCAATGAACTGATTGTAACCACGGTTTGGAGTATATCCTCTCCAATTGTTCATTGCTGATTGAAGTGTCCAAATCTTTCTGCATCATTGCTAGTTTGAAGAATACGGTTACGGTATGAAAATTTCTAAAAACTAGTGATTTGATGGGTAGTTGACGTTTTCTTCTTCTTTTCATTTCCCTTTGATATTATGTAAAATAAATATATGGTGCAAGGAACTTTTCATTTCCTGGTGATGCGTATACCTAAAGGAACTGAGAGAGGATAAACAATTCTTGCTATGGCGTTTTTGAGGTTGTATGCATTTTGAAAATACACATTTTTACTCTGATGTTCAGATTTTCAGACAACAAAGCCTTTTGAAATGAAAAGTTCGCAAGTTATTTGTATTGTTTTGGTTTGAACAAAAGTTAAATGTGATATTAGGAAAATTTTCAGGCACACAAAGGGTAAGTGACGGTCAATTACTGGATAAAAATCATGGTGATTAAGGATGTGTTTGGTTGGTGAATGAATTTTTTTTCCAGAAAATATCTTTTATTTTTTGCTTGAGATTAAAAAATACTCTTTAGGATAATTGATTAGGATCTGACCTTGACACCCAAACTAGGACAAGACCTTGATGACCGTTACAAAATCCGACCAAGAAATTTTTTTAAAATTTGAAATATTTGTCAAAAACAATTTCTTTTTATAAAAAAATTAAATTGATGGGGTTGCTCGAGTGGGAGGTGGCGCTGGGGGAGGGGGTTGGAGGTAGGGGTGGTGCAAAAATGAAAAACTTTACATTGGAAATATTTTTTAAAAATAAATTATTTTTTTAAAAAAAATAAATTGATGGGGATGGCCTGGGTAGGGGTGGCAGGGGGTAGGGGGTGTAAAAAATGAAAAAAAAATAAAATCAAATTTGAAATATTTCTCAATTTTTATTTTTATTTTTAAAAAATTGACAGGGTGGCGGGTGAGTGGGTGGCCTGGGTGGGGGTGGCCTTGTTGGGGGGAGTGGCGTAAATTTTTTTAAAAAAAAGTAATTTTGAAATATTTTAAAAAGCAATTTTTTTTGTGGTGGTGGTGGTTTGGTGGTAGGGATAAAAAAAATATTTGAAATTTAAAGAATAAGAAAAATTTTAATTTTTAATTTTTTTTTTTGAATGGAGAGGGTCGGGTACAGGGTATGAGCAGGGTAAGCAAAAAATATTAAAGGATGAAATAGAGTTTTGAAAAATGTTTCCTTAATTTTGGAAGGAAAGTCATTTTCTTTAAATTTGAGGAAAATGAGTTGATTGGAAAATATTTTCCAAACATATAAGCCAACCAAACATGGAAAAATTGAAAAACATTTTCCATAAAATGTTTTCCTCCATACCAAACATACCCTAAGTTCAATATCTTCAAGGAGGAAAAGTATTAAGCGATTTCTTTTCATTTTCTTAAGTTTTTGGTGAACTTGATTATCCAATATCTATGTGGTTGATAGAGTTTCATGAATGTGGAGTGGACAAAAAAGGTGAAAACCATAATCGATATTGAAAACCACCAATATCTCTAGTTTGTCTCATTGGAAAAATATTGGTGAAGATGGAATAATTGATATTGAGAATTTATATGCAAAACCAACTAATTTAAGATTGAGGCGTTATTGTAGCTGTTTAAATTCCTATTTCTGTTTTATTAATTATTACTGCTTTGCTTTTTCTTAGAAAGGAAAAATATAGTATGATGTACCAGGTTGATCTCATTAGCATCAATTTCAGGGTGCAAATAAGGTAGAAAATCCTAAAACTGCCAATAACTTTACGTGTGAAAGAGAATTTAGTCTCCCTTGCTCTAGTTTGACCTCAAGTTTGGAACATTCTATCTCAGGAGGCAGTTGCAACTCTTTTGATAGCTACAGAAGTTTAACCACTAATGGTGATAATATTGATCTTTAGTTTCCTCACCGCCCCGCCCCCCCCCCCTCCCTCCCTCCCCTCTTATTTTAAGATTGTGATGATATCTGTCGAAGAGTTAGATCATATGAAACTGCCTCATAAATAGAACAATTATCATCATAATCTTAAATAAGAGAAAAAAGAGAGGATGAAACTAAGTATCAGTATTTATTACCATCAATAGTTGAACTTTTGTAGCTATCCAAAGAATTGCAACTACCTCATAAATCGAAGGTTTCAAATTTGAGGGCAGATTAGAACAAGGGAGTCTAAATTATCTTTCACCCGTAATGCGAGTGGCAGTTTTAGGATTTTCTACCCTATTTGCATCCTGAAATTGATGTAGATAAGATCTGCCTAGTGCATTTTACTGTTTCTTTTTCCTTTCTAAGAAAATGCAGTATTGTAGTAATATAGAATTAAGAATTCAATAACTGCAATAATACCTCAATCCTGAATTAGTTGGATTTTACATATAAATCTCAACATCAAGTTTATTCCATCTCCATAAATTTTTTCTTAATACTTAATAATTTTTAGTACACCTTCAAACAAGAAAGCAGAGTCAATTTAGAAATGAAAAAAAGAAGAAGCAAGATGGCTAAAAAATGAACCTTTGAAAGATGATATCATCAACAACAACAACATTGGATAGAAAATGTTGATCACCCAAAACCGAAGGAAAAAGAAGCCACAATTGGGGAGCACAAAAGAGAACATCTCCACAGAGGCGATGAGAACAAGGAGAAGAAGAGGCGGAGAGCACGGAATTATAAAACCCCATCATTTAGGGTTCTTTTGTATTCACCTAGTCTGACCACTTTTGGGCCGATCAAGTCTTTTTTTGGTATATTTATGTGCGGATTCATATAGGAGCCCAATTTTTATTAAATAAAATAGACCCAGAGTCCAAATTTAAACTTAAAAAAAGAAAAGAAAAAAGAAGAAGGGGATATTTGTGGCTTTCAATATCAATTGTGGTTTTCAATCCATTCCACAATGGTACAATTTCATTACATCGGTATACAAAATCGAATAAAAAATTTAATCAAATCGTTAATCGAGTTAAATGAGAAAAATATTTGACTAATAATTTGATTTGACTTGATTTGGTATTAAAAGAATAGTCGACTATACTTGGATTGGTTTAATTTTACTTTAAAGAAAAGTCAACACTAAACCAAATCAATCCGACATTGTATATATAATTTTTAAAATTATTTTATATCTAAAAGTATTTACTTTGATATTATTTCTAAAAATATTTCTTATATTTGTTCATAATTCTTTTAACATTTGAACTTTTTGATACTTGGAATTTGGAATAGTCCAATAAAAGTTATAGCCCATAGATATTAGTAATTCTAATAAAAATCAAATCAATACTAGTGTTAACAAAAAAAATTAGTTCAACACTAAGAATGATAGTAATGTTGAATATTTGTTCTTTAATTTTATATTGATTTATACATTTAAAATACATAACCTAATTTTAATCATATAATACTTATTAGACTTATTTTAACATGATTTTGTATTTTTATAAATTGTGATCATTTTCATTGTGACATTTTAATTTGCAATTTATGCGATTTCATTATTATTTTTTGTTGAATATTTTAGTATTATCACTAATCTCATATTTTGTTTATTTTTTTAAGAAATACCTTAAAAACAAGTTAATTATATATTTCATAAATACTTTAATTGAGAAAACTGGAAAAAAAAATTCCCAAAACCCCATAAAGAACCCGAATTTCATTAATTTAATTTGGATTATAAATTTAAAAATTTGATACAAATAATTTGATTGTTATTTGTAAAATATGAACCAGCCAAACAAGAGTATTTCCCGTCAAGGTTAAATCCTACTCTCAAAGTTAATAACTTTGATGGTCAGTCAACTATCAACTTTTTTCATAGAAAGTCACTCAACTTTCATTCTCAACTCAAAAGTCACTCAACTACGACTTCTTTGCATAGAAAGTCACTCAACCTATTTAATTATTTTTTTTACTAAAATTTTTTGATATGAAATTTTTATTTTTAACCAAAATTTTAAAAACCAAATATATATTCATTTAATGACGTGCCCCATTTAATTCGACCCGTCAAAAATATAATATTAAACTTTTTATTTAATTATTAATTTCCCAAATCATTATATCTTGTCTCCTTTCTCCTAAGCGTTCTTTTTTTTTTTTTTTTTTTTTATATTTTTGGCGGATTGAATTAAATGGGGCGGGCCATTCAATGGTTTAAATGAATATATATTTGGTTCTTAAAATTTTGGTTAAAAATAAAAATTTCATATCAAAATCTTTTAGTAAAAAAAATAATTAAACAAATTGAGTGACTTTTTATTTAGAGAAGTCATAGTTGAGTGATTTCTGAGTTTGAGAATGAAATTTAGTGAATTTGTGAAATCAAAGTTATTAACTCCTACTCCATTCACTCTCCACTAACTGTGCTCTTCTTCTTCTTCTTCATATGAACAGAGGGAGCCGAGAGGTTGAGCGGAGGATTCTCCGGCTGCTCCACGGCCAAAAAACTCGAACCCAACTCACTCAAATCCATGCGCACATCCTTCGCCACCACCTTCACCACTCTAACCAGCTCATCTCCCACTTCATTTCCATCTGCGGTTCCCTTAACAGAATGCTTTATGCATCCCTCATATTTCAACACTTCCAGAATCCCAACATCTTTCTCTTCAATTCCATGATCAAAGGTTACTCCTTACGTGGCCCTTATCAAAATTCTGTCGTCTTTTTTCCACTATGAAACGACGTGGCATTTGGCCTGATGAGTTCACTTTCGCCCCTTTACTCAAGGCTTGTGCTAATCTTGAGGACTTGGAAATGGGACAAGGAGTACATAAGCATGTTCTTGCACTTGGGTTTGGCAGATTTGGGTCGATAAGGATTGGGATTGTTGAGCTGTACTCTGGATGTGGGAGGATGATAGATGCGAAGAAGGTGTTTGATGAAATGCTTCACAGAGATGTGATTATTTGGAATTTGATGGTTAAGGGTTATTCTCACATTGGAAATGTGGATATGGGACTTGGGCTGTTTAGGCAAATGGGTGAGAGGACTGTTGTTTCTTGGAATTTGATGATTTCGTTGTTAGCGCAAAATGGGAGGGAGAAGGAGGCTCTGGCACTTTTCCATGAGATGAGGAATGGTGGGTTTGAGCCTGATGAAGCTACTGTTGTTACTGTGTTACCTGTTTGTGCTCAATTAGGAGACCTTGATTTGGGAAGGTGGATTCATTCTTATGCTAAGTCTAAAGGCCTCTATCCCAATCTCGTATCCGTTGGCAATGCATTGGTTGATTTCTTTGGAAAATCTGGTGATTTGGAGACTGCGTTTATTATATTCAATGACATGCCTAGAAAAAATGTAGTTTCTTGGAATGCTGCTATATCAAACTGTGCTTTTAACGGGAAGGGTGACTTGGGAGTACAATTGTTTGATGAGATGTTAGATGAAGGTGTGAGACCTAACGATTCGACTTATGTGGGTGCTTTAGCATGTTGTGCACATGCAGGTTTGGTCCAAAGAGGGGGAGATTTGTTTGATTCTATGATTGCTAATCATGGTATAGAACCAACAATTGAGCATTATGGATGCATGGTTGATCTTCTAGGTCGTGGTGGCTGTCTAAAGGAGGCTCATAAACTAGTGGAAACCATGACAATGGAACCAAATGCTGCTATATGGGGTGCATTGGTTAGTGCTTGTCGCACTCACGGTGAAATGGAGTTGGCTGAATACGCACTTAAGGAACTTATTAAACTTGAACCTTGGAACTCCGGTAACTATGTATTGTTATCCAATATTTATGCTGATAGAGGAAAATGGGAAGACGTTGAAAAGGTGAGAGTATTGATGAGCGGAAATAGCATTAAAAAAGCGCCAGGACAGAGCACAATTGTTTGATCATTTTTCGACTTCATTATGTGGCTAATCCCTTAGCTGCATCTTAAACTATGGGTGTTTGCTCCTTGCTGACAGATAGATAGGGTCCCTTCAATGAAGGGCTCTTCCTAATTGATCTGCTTTTCTGCAACGATATCAATGAATCCCCAAGGAGAAAGAAACATATTGAAGGGATTTTGACCTTGTTTGATTGAATATATGAAAGTGAACTGAACTCATAAGTGAAAGTCAGTATAGTGGCAAATATGTTAGGTGTGGAGACATAAGGTTGAAGAGAAGGAAAATGTGTTAGGTGTGCAAGTCACCAAGTGTAGGTTCCATCTCCCATTCCTTGTTGCTCTAATTCTCTCCAATTGATGTAATAACAAAGATGGATAAAAGATGCTGTAATTCTCTCCTATTGATGTAACAAAGATTTAGTAGGCGTTTGGACAGCGTTGAATCCCAAATTCTCCAAAAATCATGATTTGGAATTTTTCAAATACAAAAATTGACCCATAAGTTTATATTTTATAAAAACAATCACTATAATCATATCATTTCTTTTTAAACCTTTTATATAGTTTTTTTTTTTTTCTTTTTTATAAGTTAAGAGATGGGTGTTTTAGCAAAAGAAATGGAGATGCGGGGTATCGATCCCCGTACCTCTCGCATGCTAAGCGAGCGCTCTACCATCTGAGCTACATCCCCTGTTTGCTTTTTGTATGTGCAGTCTATAATTCTAAAGAAGCTTACATTTCACAAGCAATATACAAAGATTCGTGGTAGGAAAACAGCGTTATACATATCTAGAATGCAAACATAATCGCAATAGAAGAAGATACACAAATACTTTTCTTTATAAGTCTTTTGGTGGGTAGTTTATTTGGGATGGATGCCTCCTAGAGTAACAGAGAAATCAACTGGATTGAGGCAAAGTTCCTCTCCTTAGAGTTATAGCAAGACATCAGAGGTATAATTCTTGTCGGAGGGAGAGAGTTCAAATCACAGAACTAATCTTTCTCTCTCGAATGTAGGCTACTTTCTAACATCACATATCAGAATCTCAATCCTTTTTGCATCACCTTCTCTCTCTCTCTCTCATGTAGGCTACTTTCTAACATCACGTACCAGAATCTCTTTCCTTTTGCATCACCTTTTGAAAGGGTAGTAAGAAGGGGTTTGGGTGGCCATCTCTCTCTTCAATGCTTTAAAACGAAGAGGAAGGAAAAAAAAACAATAAAAGTATCTTGTGATGAGAATAGGATTATAGTGTTAATCACTTATTCCCAACCCATATATACAAATAAAATCACAGAATAGGATTATAGTGTTAATCACTTATTCCCAACCCATATATACAAATAAACTATGTTAAATTTTTTGTATATTTAGGCAGAAAGCTGCATTGGTAGTAGTATATAGCAGTCTCGCTGCAAGTTGTTAGTAGATGAATATCACGTCTTGATTACTAATGGTATGTAGTAGCGAACTACCCCCACACTAATCAAATTTTATATCCAATAATTGGGGAGGAACAAATTAGAACACTTGAAGGAACAAAAACGGAAAACATGAAATAACAACTATGAATGAAAAGAAAAATGTAGACTAGACATATATAATAGAACACTGTTTTTAACTGTTTCACTGAAAACCTGGGGAAAACACAGAAACTATTTAGCCCATAGAGATAAACAGACATCTTCAACTTATCCAGTACAAAAATAAGACTTAAAAACAAAATAACAAATCTCACTCTCCTAGACATGATTACTTGATGTACTGAGACATCCACCTGAAGCCTTCCCCATAACCCATTTTGCGGACTATGCTGCACATGAACACCTCAAGTGGACGGACATTGGACTCTGCCAGGTTTACCTTCCCCTTGCCAGTGGTGACGCCTGTTAGCCCCAAATGGTAACGTAGTTCATCTTCTGAGGCAGCATAAGGGATGTCTATCTTGTTACCCAATATAAGAAATGGAACAGTGGCCAAGGACTCGTCAGAGAGGAGAGCATCCAGTTCTTTCTTAGACTCGGCAAACCTTTCTTTGTCGTAGGAATCCACCAAGTATACAACAGCATCCACCTTCAGAAAAAACACATGTTACAATAAGCACAACACCAGAAAATTGCCAAATAGCACTCCGTATTTCATAGAGATACATTATCAAATTTCCATTTTCTAATTCTAGATTTTGCAGGCAAATCCTTTAAGTCTAGCAAACATTATTTCATATGGAGTCATGTGTGCCATGCATTTTTCAGAAGTCTAATACCAACTTAGATCAGATCTGACAAAAATCTAGTTTCAGAAAACAAGTATGAATAAGGGTCATTAACAAAGGAATTGCATCTGTGATTCCCTCTCTGCTGTTTCTGTTGAATATCTTTATTAGAGATGCCCGTTTGACAAGCTTCAAAAGTACATCATTGCAAGACAAGTGAAATAGTATAAACTTGGCTATCTCACATAAAACTAATCCTATATCAGAAAGCTATTCTTCAATTACATAATTTCTCTTTCATCTTAAATCAGTAAATGTCAATTCTGAGAATTGTACCAATAACAACAACAATGGAAACAATTAGTGAAATTTTATATAAGAGATTTAACAAGAAATAGAGCTAACTTTGTTCCGGCATGGATAAAAGATCTTAAGCTAGTCATTTTGAAGGATGCTCAAGAATTATAAGAAAGCAGAACAGAAAGCAACCGGGAAGAGTAATTTTTCACGTCTTTATTTGACACCAGAACTTCTTTACACTTTGCAGATGAAATGGCTGCAGCCAGTCAAAATCTGCTCTTTGGGTGGCTAAAACTTAAAAACCACGGGATCTATTATACCTATGTTATCCATATAAAGATTCAAAAAGAATTTCCTAAATGAAGTTCTGCATCAACAAGATAATTTTTTGTGTATGGAGAGGTACTATTGAAACACCCCCTGGAAAAAAGTAAGGTGCTATCAGCGAACTCCCAATATCAATATATGCCTCCCATGAATCAAATAAACAGATAGAAGTTTATTTGGGATTATGAAGGCAATAAACTACTATCTAGGGAAAAAAAGTTAAGAAAAGTTGCCTTAAGCATTATACTTGTTATAATAAATGAATATCAAATAAACAATTTGAGTTCCTGTATAACCTGAATTTAAATTATATTAGCTAAAGTATTCTTTACAAGAAGATTGGAAAACTTCTTAGTACATGTTGAAGATATCTATATTGATGCCAGAACTTCTTGTTAAAGCATCACAAACATTTCAAAATTCCTGAAAATAGAAATCAGGAATGAAGATAGAGCAGCGGGAGTAGAGGACTATTTCCCTGGAAACAAAGAGCAGTTGATGACAGCGCATAAATGAAGTTAGCAATAACAACCTGTTATGTACTTAATAGAATTCTTTCTCCAGTAAATAATTCATCATTTGTCTAACACTGAACCAGTCTCCAACATTAGTGGACAAGAAGATGAACTCACAATCAACTTGTCAATTTTCAGACCATGTTAACCATCATCACTACATAAATCTTAACACACAAACACTAATGGCATATTCCAGTAAAAATGATAACTTAGTTGTATGGAACCAAAGAGCACCACTGCTTAACAGAATCCCAACCAATAAATACCACCCTAAGAAACAAATAATATACGGTTCGCAAGTCAAATATCTAAATTAAGACAAGAAGAGAAAGAAATAGCAACACACCTTAGCATAATAATCTTTCCAAACACGGCGAGCAATCTGATGACCACCCAAGTCAAATGCTTTGAACTTGATCTTTCCAATACTAAGCTCCTCTGACGTTGGGTATTGTGTTGGCTGATGTTGAACCAATCTCTGCCATAATTCAATAAACCTCAATCTCAGATTCAAGATTACAAGTAACCAATAGCAGAAAAAACAGGTCTTTTCAAACTTGTAACTCTTTCACATAAGACCCATAAAGCCACATCAAGGAAAATTCAATTTCAGGTGAAAGTTGGAGAATTCAGAAAATCAGATGAAGCTCCATTTCTTCACCGTCTGTGATACCAATAATCACATCTAGATATGTAAATTAAAATCAACGGCACAAATTGTATGATACAACATATCTAAAAGGGGAAATTAAAACAAAAAAAAGGGAGAAAACGGTAAGAGACCTCATCTTTCAACATATGGAGCAAGGTGGTCTTTCCGGCATTATCGAGACCCAAAAACAAGATCTTAGCCTCCTTCTGCCATAAACCAAGGGTTGCAAGAATTCCATAGAACCAATCTACCAAGAACATCGTTGATCCAGTTCGCTTTTCCTCCGATCCGAAAGAACCCAATCCAAGCCCTAAGGATTGATCTAGGGCTACAAATCTGTAGAATTGATTGAAGGAGAAGTGCTTTGATGTCTTCTCCTCCTCGAAACGCTAACACCTGGCTGGCGTGGAGAGAGAGAATTAATGGGGTGAGCTTTGCTTTTTGTCTTCATATATAAGTGCCCAACCCTAGTCAACCTAACACCCCCTTGTCGATGTATTCTTTATTTATACCTACGTAAATTTTTATTTTTTTTAATTTCATTTACTTTTATTTCTTTTCTATTTTAAAAATAAATTTCTACTTTTAATTATCGCAAATACTCATATCAATCATCGCTTTATCCCAATATAAAGTTTCAACACCCCATATAATCTTATAATCCCCTCCCCTAAAAATACTTCCGCCGTGCAAAAAGAGTGGTAGGATACCAAGCACATCATCTACTTTTTGGTGGAAATTGGATCACCCAATTTTATATAATAATCTATATTTACACAAAAATTGTGTTAATAAATTATTGTTTATTTTCAAAGTTATAAAATATTTGATATCTAATAAATAAATATATATATATATATATATTATCATATAAAAGAATATTTTTAATTTTAACACATCAATATTATGTCCAATGATAAGGCGGAAAATTAAACAAGCGTTTGGCAATAGATTTTTAAATATTTTTGACAAATATTATTTGGGTGAAATTTCACCATATGTTTGTCCATAGTATTTGAAAAACATATTTCACTTTTTAAGAAATATGATTTGTACCCGTAAGTTTTAAAAACTATCAAAATTACCATATGTGTGTATTA